GATAATATACCTTCGGAAGCTTTACAGTTTCCTAGAGTCGTTAGAGTTGAGGACAGGCGCAGTGGGCTCTGTATGAGCATTATAAACAAAGGCAGGACCTTGTCAGAACACATAGCCTGCGTAGCACGCCCTTGAAGGTAGTGGGTGCAAAAAAGAACGGGCGCGCAAGAGAGACACGCGGAGACACCCGTTCTTTCTTGCGTCCACTACTTTCAAGGGCCTGCTACGCAGGCTAAGAACACTATAGAAATGGCGTCTCTGGGGGAGCGCCGCCTTACCCCGCCCGTAGCGGCTCGCTCCTTGTCTTTGGACGCTGATACTAGATTCTGGGATAAATAAAAAAGCCGGGTTGGACGGTCTGTCTCAGTCCTGAAATACCTTATTTAGGTATATAGTATTCTTTTTCAAGGTAATTTCAGGCATTCGGTATCAAACGTTTTACAAATCTTTAGCTATATTGGTATCTTATGAGGACAAAAGCGGGTATATTGGTATCCCACCGTCCCCCACCCTCACCCCTCCTATGCGGGCCGGACCTAAAAAAAAAATGGAAGGGCGGAGTCCATGCCGTGAAAATAATGATTCATTACCAATACAAATTTCTTGGTGTGATATGCATTTTGCGCAACTTAAAGACTCATTCAATTAGGGCTTTTTTTTCGGGAGAGAAGCAGAAATTTTGTTTATCACAAAGATTTTGGAGCACGACGGGTTACGTAGCCACGTGACCATAACATTACGTGACACTATCACGCTATGATTTGATTTTGAAACGAAACTGCCTAACTTCAGCTGCCTGGATAGACTTCTTCCATCAAGAATCTAAAGTAAAGGTAAGCGTCTTATTTACCGAGAACAGATAAAACGGTAAATGACTAATTGCTTTTGTTGTGCGTCAAACGTTTTTAAACAGCCTGATTATTACAATAATTTATGAACTTTTATATGCACCGCGGTGAAATTCACTCTGAAATTGCGGAAAGAACTTAAAATTCTGCGTTGCCTTTCTTGTACATGTTTTGTATCCCGGGGTAGTGATATTTAGTTTCATTCCTTAGAGAGCTTGGATCAACTTCTGATCTAGAGAATTCTATTAAAAACATTGTTTACTGTTCAGTGCAGGTAGTTACAAGACGATGGCGCCCGCCAGTTGATCGTGGTAATCAGTAACATGCATGACCATCCCTGTTAGTATATCTCATTCGATTCAAAAGTACTTAAAGAAGCTTAATTACTTTCTTTTAGAGGCCGGAGATGAATTCAAGTGACAAAAGAGGCGATTTTATGGAACTTTTAACCTGTACAATCATGACATCTGACACGGCCTGTAATTATGCAAATACGCAAAGTGGCAGATTATAATCTACTGTTGGTTGCAATCCCAGAAGATACCCGCAAGTCCGAGCCTATAAACCAAAAAAATAAGCTTAAAACTTTACTTTGATATGATTTTTGAACCAGATTTAGGCCGCAACTTTTGAGATATTTTGCCTCAAATCTTCCTTACTTTCAAGGTTTCGATCAAGCCTGCAAAATAGGTATTCTTTGAACCACTGTAACTTGAACACGTTTTGATCAAAGATATTTTTATTTAGCCTGTGAACTATCGAAGGTTAACTAAAAAAACTGAATCGAACAGATTTTTTGTGCGGGCATTCGGTTGTTTGCAACGCGCTTTTCAAAATCCATCAATTTTAGTCTTCGAAACACTCTCTGAGAAGCCGAGACGGACTCAATTCGTTTTTGGCTTGTAGCAGAGCTAAGAATAAGAATTTGAAAACAAAAATAGCGATTTTAGTATACACCTACTAAAGCCTCTTCACCGACAAAAAATAAAGCAAAAGTATTTTTTGTCGCGAAATCGAGTGGACCGCTTTTAGGGAGACTGCCTCTTAAATGTTGTGCTCTTTTGAGGAGCTCTCTGTGGAGCAAATGTTCCATAACGGAGCTGACTTAAACTGATTTGTTGAAAGAATCCAGGAAAATCATGTGAAGATCTTTAATTTGTAGCCAGGCTTTGAGCTCTGCTGTTTTCGATGTTTGAGGGAAGTAGTCTTTTTACAGCAGGTGTTTGTCTCGTTTCATTTATGAAAAATGTTTTCTCACTAGCTATTTATATAAACACCAAACAAGGAAGTAATTTCAATTCCTTATTTCACAGCCAAGAATGAAACAGTGGCAAAATATACCTCCAAAAGGTACAAATATATCCTAGTAGCCAAGAGCGTCTGCCTCTCTGTTTTCCAATAATACATGGAGAAATTTGACATTTGTCACTTAACCTGTCAGTTGGCTTCTTTGACTTCGCAGACATTTCCTTGTTTGTAATGGTTTACGGGTTTATTAAAACTTGAAATTAATTCATTCGCATCCAACATCTTCCTAAAAAATATTTCATACCGTTACGGTCTCATTTGTGAAGAGATAATGTACGGTCAGTGTGGGTCAGAAATTAACTTTACTTTAATTTATGTCAAATGCAACAAAGTGTTCGTACTCTATTATTAGAAATAAATTTCTTGTTAGAAAACGCTGAGTTCACGAAACGGCGTCTTCTACGCGAATACGCGGGAGTTGTAAACAATCCATTGAGCACAAAACTCAGCTACAGTAAATTAAAAAAGTCTGTATTGAATCCTTCCAAGTCTTTTCTTGCCTTAAAAAAAAAGTCAGTCCTAGGATTTTGTCGACTTTTAAAAGATCGTTCTCTAAAAAACGGGAAAAACACCGAGCTCACACATTATCCACTCGCTAGGAGGTGAATAATGTTGAATAGTCCGAGATAGCGAACCAATCAGATTGCTTAAATCACCAAGATCACTGAGTGTGTATATACTAATTCACTATATTTTTGGTCGATAACAGCTGGACTATTGAAGGAAGTAGTCTTTTTACAGCAGGTCTTTGTCTCGTCTCATTTATGAAAAATGTTTTCTTACTAGCTATTTATATAAACACCAAACAAGAAAGTAATTTGAATTCCTTCCTTCACAGCCAAGAATTAAACAGTGGCAAAATATATCTCCGAAAAGTACAAATATTCCAGTAGCCAAGAGCGTCTGCCTCTCTGTTTTCCAATAATACACGGAGAAATTTGACATTTGTCACTTAGCCTGTCCGTTGGCTTCATTTACTTCGCAGACATTTCCTTGTTTGTAATGGTTTACGAGTTTATTAAAACTTGAAATTAATTCTTTCGCATCCAGCATCTTCGGAAAGGATATTTTCATACCGTTACGGCCTCATTTGTGAAGAGATAAAATGTACGGTCAGTGTTGGTCTGAAAATTACTTTACTTTATGTCAAATGCAACGAAGCGTTCGTTCTCTATTATTAGGAATCTTTAACAATTATTCCTCGAGCCCGAATGGGCTCTGAGTCAATAGCCCATGAGGCCGAAGGCCGAATGCCGAATGAGCTATTGACTCAAAGGCCATGAGGGCGAGAGGAATAATTGTTTTAGTAAAATCCAACTAGTTGGTAAAAAATAAAGAGATAAAAAAAATTTAGCTAGTTAAAGCTAGACTTTAATCCTTTTTTGCCGCCAAAAAGTCGGCGCTTTTCGCTACTAGTGGGCTATAACATATTGCCTAGTAGTAGCTCAACCAATCAGAACGCAGCATTGATAATAGACCACTAGTTGGAATTAGAGTTTCAAAAACAATCTATTCTAATTGAAATTTTTATTATGATGCCGACAATGATTCTTATTATATATGCACACCAATCGTCCGAGACTTGCATTCCTTTTCCAAGTTTATCAAAAAATTTAATGGAGATTATAATGCAATGCGACAACTTGTATGTACAAAATTTAAAGCTCCAACACCACTAAACTTGGCGGATTATTGGACGTTCGACGTTCTGTCTTCAGCTGAAACGGCCACAAGTAAAGATCAAACTAATCTTTTTCAAAATAGCTTTGTACTCTCGTCTGAAGTGCCTATTGGTAGCGCCATATATGAAGGGGTTAATTGTACTACTTAGGTAGACCAGAAACCCGTATGTAAGATATACCTGTCGTGGCAAAGTGGGTTCCCCGCGTGCTGCGTCGATGTAATCCATAATGCTGATAGGAAGCCAACATAAGGAGAAACTGACCATGACCAAAGCTAATGTCTTGGTCACTTTGGCTTCTTCGACGTTTGCTCTGAGCTGTTCAGGGTTATTTTCTTGCGTGAAAACACGATTTGATCTTGACACTGTGTAGAACACTTTGGCGTAGCAGAAAGTGATCAGTGTAAAGGGCGCAGCGACAAACACACATTCGATGAAGACGGTATAAGCAATGTTACTTTGGAATGGGTACATGCACATTGCTTTTGCTAGTTGGAAAGTGTATCCGCCTGTCTGAAAAATTAGCGGAGGCACTGAACCAATGAGAGCCATACACCATACTGCCGCAGTGTACAACACAATTCTTTGTTTTCTGAATAAAACAATGTACCTCGTTGGTTTCACTACGCAAAAATATCGGCTGATTGCAATAATCTCCATGGTATTTAGAGACGCCAATGAAAACGTAAAAATTGCAAAACCCTGCAGTTGACAAACAGTAGTCCCGAATATCCATCGGCTCTGAACGAGAGTAGCAACTGACAGAGGCATACAGCTGAAAGATGTTAGTAAATCACTGACAGCTAGCGCTACAATAAACATATTGGAAACCGAACGAAGTCTCTGGTTTCTATACACGGCGTAGCAAACAGAAATGTTTCCTGAGATGGCCATTGTATTGACGATAGCAAGGAAAATTGCTTCAATCCAAACTAGATGCTGTGCTCTTTTCAGGAGCTCGCTGGAATGCGGATGATCCATAATACGGGGCTGATTCAAACGAATTCGTTGAAAGTATGCAGCGAAATCTTGGGAAGATTTTTGTAATAATTTGAACTCTTTTGTTTTCAACGTTTAAGGGAAGCAGCCTTCTATACTGGATCAGGTGTTCGTGTCATTAATGAAAAATGTCAGATCATTAGTTATTTATATCAACACCAAGTTTGAAGTTAATTTGAATTCATTGTTTACAGCTAACCAAGACTTAAACAGCTGCCCCAAAAAGAAGAGATATCCTAGTAGCCAAGAGTGTCTACGTCTCCGTCGGTTAGGGGTAAAATAGGGCCTTTTTAAAAGATCCGACGACGGAGACGACAACGAGAACGTCAAAGAAAGCAAGAGGTTTAATAAGCAAAACAATTTTGCGCGTGCATCACGCTTTTTTGTACATTTATTTGCCATCACTGCACGACTACGACGTGAAAATGTCTATTTTCACTTTTTACAGCGGAAGTACACAATTAAGCGACGACGAAATTTCCTCCTTCTTTTTGAACTTGGATATGGTTCTTAGGAATTCAACTTTTAGGAGGGTTCACCTTTGACAAAGTTAGTGACTTGGAGTAATCGCGATGAAGATTGAAAGAACGCGAATTCACTTTTTCAGCGACGTTTTCGCTGCTGTCGCCGTCCTCAGATCTTAAGGTCCCTAACGTTTTCCAATGAACGGGGCAATTCGATAGTGGTCACTTACGTAGTCGGGTAAGCTTCATTCACTTCGCAGACATTTCCTTGTTTGTGATTGGTTTATGGGTTTATTTGAATTAATTCATTTGCATCCAATATCTTCCTAAAGAGTATTTTTTATAAAACTGTGAAAGGTTTGAACCCATGAGTCATTTCAAAAGTAGGTTGAGTTTGATCGTCCTGCTGAACGTACTCCAAGAGTCACACCAACGTCAACTCTGGCCCTGTTACGACAGCGACTATACCGTACATCAGAGGCACCTCTGAAACCATCGCACGTATACTAAACCCTTATAATATACGTGTTGCACACAAACCGATAACCACGTTACGGCGACTACTTACTAATGTCAAGGACAAAGACAAACCGGAGGACAGACAGGGAGCACTATACAAGATCAAATGCTGCTTCTGCCAGGCTACTTACTTTGGTGAAACCGATAGAAACCTAAGCACGCGACTGACCGAACACAAACGAGCGAAGAGAAATGGTGACGTCAACAATCACATTGCTGAACACTATTTACAGACGAAACATCAAATCGACTGGGACTGCGAGATGTATCACAAATTCTACAGACTAGTATCTACGACTCACTTTAGAAAGCTGGTTTACTAACTTAAAACAAACGTCCTTGAATCGTAGTCAACAGTTACCGGCACCGTACAAACAACTTATTGACAAAATCAAGCAAAACTTACTACGAGAGAACGACTGGAAAACTGACAATTTGACCAACAATAGACGGATCGAAGCGCACCAATTACATTACGAGTCTTCATAGCCAACAACATCACGGCTTACTCACAGACGACCAATAACATCGCGACGTAATTGACCAGTCAGGTCAATAACCAGAGTATAATACCATCAACTGGCGTGATACAACTCATTTTGACTCTGAAGGCGACTACCGCTATGCCTAGATAAAAATATCTGAATATTTTTTAAGATATTTAGAAGATTGTGGGATATTTAGAAAATCTCATGATATTCAGGAAAAAATTGTGATATTTAGAATTTGAAAAAAGTACTGAAATCATGTTTTTTCTAGGAAGCTACTTCAATGCTAATTAGGGCATGGGCATTTCAGTGACAGAAATTCAAACCAATCTCCACATATGGGCCTTTTGTAATCAGATTCAACAATATTCTTCATTTATATAATATATGCAATGTGGTTAATGTTCAACAAAATGGCTGATGACGAACGCTTTAAGGCACGCACAAGCTATGCATTAGACCCCTTTAGACCTCCAGCACCTAATGGTCTTTCACCATCTCTGCCTGTATTAAAGTGCAGTGCCCTAGTTTTCTTGTAGGCCGAGTGGTGCTGTAAACAAGGCTGACTTTATGTGGAATTGCTTAGAGTTTTGTAGTATGCTGTACAAGGGTATAATTTCCTGAAATTTGCTGAAATTTCTGTCGCAATTTTAGATGAGCGGCTTGTTTTGTTGTTTATACTGTTAAGTAATATTTATGAAACGAAGCCAGATATTTTTGAGATATTTTAGAACTTTTTCGAGATATTTAGAAAAACAATTGGGAAATTCCGGAAAAATATTTAGGCAATTTTCGTGATATTTGTATCTAGGCCTAACTACCGCACAGGTTGTCGAAGCGTCACTCACTGTCAACAAGAACAGTGCTTGTTACGGCCGCATTCCACGTCAATATGTTTAGCGTTTAGTTCTTTGTATAGTTGCACATTCCTTTCACATTCTTTTCAGTAATCGCTATTCATATTCTGTTAGATTTCTCTGTATAATTTTCTTTGTTCTTAGATCATTTTGTAAGTTTCATCGTTTATTCTAATTCATTTCGCTTTAGCGTTCACTTCAACATCATCGCAGTTTTTTCGTCCAGTCTTGTTAGCCATCGCACATTTTTTCCGCTCAACTTTCTAGTCACACAACGTTTGTAAGTATTTTCGCTTAGTTTCTTTCCGTTTCCTGTATTTTCGTCGTTTCATAGCTGTCATTTGTATTCCTCAGTAATTTGTATTTTTTGTTTCGCTTTTAGCAACCGTAATCGTAATTCGTTTTAAATGTAATAAAGACGAGTTGGAACCGTGGACCATCCTTGGATTATTTGCTCTAATAGTGCTATTCAGGACTATGTTCACCCGGACGATCAAACTCAACCTACTTTTGAGTATTCTCATAATAAGGCCCCATTTCATGAAGATATAGTGCAGTTATTCTTAGTCTTGAAAATAACTTTACTTAATTCCTAATGCAACAAAACCTTCGTACTCTCATATAAGAATCATGATGCTAAATTAGAATTTGAATTTGAAAAACCATCTATTCTACTAATTGCAATTCTTATCATAATGTCGAAAATGATTTTTCTTATACATGCACATCAACCATCCGAGAGTTTGGTTTCTTTTCCGACTTAAAAAGTTTAATAGCCTGTCATTACAGGGTGCAAAAGCAAAATTCATTACCAAGCGTGACAGTTTTATTGCAAAGTGCGAGAGAATAGCATCTCCTCGAAGTATTTTGTAAACCCTCTTAGATATCTCAAACAAGATTTCCCTTTTGTTTCATATACCTCATCATGTGAAATTCCTGGCGTTTAATAATATACCCAGGAAGCCTGAAGAATGTACTGCTCTCGATAGGAGCCCTAATGTAAAGCCATTATAGGGAGTACCCTCTCAGGGTTGGGGAGGGGAGGGCAAAAGAGTATGGCTTTAATTTTTTGCAGAAGGACGGAGACATCCCCAGTAATCTGCTTGAGGGTTTGCGTTTCAAAACAGAAAACCGTCAGAATAGATGGATAGGGACCTGAAGGTCTGAGCAAAGGACATCAAAACCGGTTTTAACTACTTTCGATGTTATTTGGCAGTTTTGCAATTTTGCCATCAGCTAATCCGTGCACCCTTGGTTATAAAACCCGCAAACAATAAAACCATGCAAAGAAAAGAAATACGTCGCCACTTTCTGCAAAACAAAGGACCGCATACCCCAACGTGCTAAAATCAGCTGCAGTGAAGACAACTGGAGGACAGAGATATATGATGCTAAACACCTTCAGTAGCGAAATGGCTGCAGAAATGAAAAAATACCCCTAAGCTCCCCTAGATGTATGTGATGTCGTTGACTGATTTAAATTTGTAACGAACAATGAAACATGTCACAAAGACTGAAATTGAATACAATTCCTCCTAATGTGTCCAGTCCCCTGGTCCGTGCCAGCAAAATAGCTATTTATGCCTGTTCCGTGATGCTACACTGTCAGTAGCTGTCAGTAGATGTTGAGTCATCTGGAGGTGATATTTTCGCAGTAACTGAGAGATGGCTCTCAGAAATTGATGATGCGTGCAGAGCCGAAATCACCCCACCCGAGTACAAGCTGTTTGATCACACACGATCTGATCGATCTGGTGGTGGAACTGCTCTATTGATAAGAGAAAATCTACATGCAAGTCGTGTAGATGCTGGTGAGCGTACTTCTTTTGAGTTTTTTCATTGGATGGTCGAGTTCCAGTCGCGAAAACTACAGATTATCATTATTTGCCGTCCACCCTATTCAAGTAACCATCCTGTCACGACGAGTGTATTCTTTGCTGATTTTTCGAGTCTTTTGGAGAGTATCATAATGTCATCTGTAACGTTACTGATAGCAGGTAATTTTGATATCCATGAAGACGTTCCGGGGAACGCAGACAGTGTTTGTTTAAAGGAGCTGCTTGAGTCAATGGGCCTTCAACAGCATGTAAACGAGCCCGAGGCATTTGGTACCTTGGTTTAGTGAACATGTTAGGGATTCCAGGAGGGAAAGCCGGAGAGCTGAAAGAAAATGGCGTCGATCTCGAAGTGTCCGTGATTTGCTTGAATTTAAAAAGAAGAGGAACTTTACAACCTACCTGATGAATGAATCCCGTCGTAAGTTTTACTCAGACTTAATTGTTGAAAATAACTCCAATCAAAGGAACCTATTCTCGGCAACAAAGAGGTTGCTAAATCAAGGTCATGAAGTACCGTTTCAACCAACAAGTGACAAGCTGGTTTTATCCAATAAAATGGGTAGCTTCTTTGTTGAAAAGATTGACGCCATCCATGTCAAATTGGACAGACTAGCTGATTGTTTGCATGATTCTCATCTTGACTATGTGAAAACGTTACCAACTAGAACACTGGACAGCTTTATCCCTTTAACAGAAAGTGCAGTTAGTAAGTTGATTGGCCGCTTTCCGAAGAAGAGCTGTATGTTTGATCCGATGTCAACACCTTTAGTAATCAGCTGTGCTGATGTGCTATTACCAGTCATTACTAAAATGATCAACCTGTCTCTTAATTCTGGAGAATTTGCGGATGATTGGAAATGTGGGCTTATTAATCCTATCTTGAAGAAACCTGGATTGGATTTGCTGCGCAAAAATTACAGACCAGTTAATAACTTACAATACGTATCCAAGTTGACTGAAAAAGTCGTTTTTAATCAAGTTTACGATCACATGGTTTCAAATGCTATTTTTCCTGCCCTTCAATCTTCTTACAGGCAATTCCATAGCACTGAGACGGAACTTATCAAGGTGATGAACGATATTTTGTTAAAGATGAACTCTCAACATGTCACTTTGTTAACTTTATTGGATCTCAGTGCTGCCTTTGACACTGTTTATCATGAAATACTTTTAAAGAGATCTGACGAGGTTGGCATACGTTGGACTGCTCTGAATTGGTTTAGATCGTACTTTTCTGATAGAAGTCAGCGCGTTTCTGTACATGGAGTTCTCTCTCGTCCTTTTAACTTGAACTGCGGGGTACCCCAAGGCTCATGTTTAGGGCCTTTGCTATTCATAATTTATGCGTCTAAGCTGTTTAAGATCGTAGAACATTATCTTTTCGATGCTCACTGTTTCGCAGATGATACGCAGCTGTATCTGAGTTTTAAACCACTCGGCAACACTACTCAAGCTGATGCTATACAAGCTATGAAAAAGTGCATTGACGCGGTGAGTAAGTGGATGATTCAAGATCGGTTGATGAGCAATGATGATAAAACGGACTTTTTGTTGGTCGGAAAACGACAACAGCTTGATAAACTAGATTCGTGTTCCATTACTGTGGGCAATAATCGTATCAGTCCAAGCCCATGTGTTAAAAACCTTGATCGTGGTTTGACAGCAACTTAGCATGACTGATCATATAAACAAGGCTTGTAATGCGTCATTTTATCATTTACATAACTTGAGACGTATTAACAAATACCTGTCGAGAGATTCTTTAATGACTTTGGTTCATGCTTTTATAACCAGCCGTCTTGACTATTGTAATGGTTTATTGTTTGGCTTACCAAAGGCGGAGATCGCTAAATTACAGCGTGTACAAAATGCAGCAGCAAGACTTATTCTTGGCATCGGAAAATTTTCTCACATTACAGCGGCGCTTTATGAGCTGCACAGGCTGCCGGTTTCTTTGCGTATTGACTATAAGATTTTACTTTTGACTTTCAAATGTATTTATGGTCTAGCGCCAACTCATCTTAGCGATCTTATTAGTATAAAATCGAATTCATTATATAACCTTAGGTCTACTGATAAGCTCTTATTGGACCATCTCAAGGGAAAGATGCTTACAACATTAGGAGCAAGATCATTCTCTGCAGCAGCTCCGAAACTCTGCCTGTGGCGCTTCGTCAAGCAACATCACTTAACAGTTTTAAATCTCGACTTAAAACGTATCTTTTTAAGGAGTATTTTTATAGTTTGTAACTAAGGTTATTATCAATGCTGCGTTCTGATTGGTTGAGCTACTACTAGGCTATATGTTATAGCCCACTAGTAGTGAAAAGCGCCGGCCTTTTGGCGGCAAAAAAGGACCAAAGTCTAGCTTTAAGTAGCTAAATGTTTTTCTATTCTTGATATTTTTGACCAACTAGTTGGATTTTACTAAACAAATTATTCCTCTCGCCCTTATGGCCCCTGAGTCTATAGCCCATTTGGCCTTCGTTTGGTTTCAATTCATTAATTATTATTACTAGTAAAACTATTTCTTTTTCCAAAGCACTTTCCTCTACTCTCCGTTTTAAACTTGTTAGGTCTTCATTGTATCACCTCAAAAGGCCTTGAACTTGTCTAACATTGACATCTTGTTTTCCACATTTGTTTTTACATAGTTTAAAGCTCCGTCACCGCTAAATTTGGTGGATTATCGGACGCTGGATTCTGTCTTGAGCTGCAACGACCACAAGTAAAGATCAAACTTATCGTTTTCAAAATGGTTTTGAATTCTTGTCTGAAGCGCCTGTTGGTAGCGCCATATATGAAGGGGTTGATTGTACTACTTAGGTAGGCCAGAAACCCGTAAGTAAGATATACCTGTCGTGGCAAAGTGGGCTCCCCGCGTGCTGCGTCGATGTAATCCATAGTACAGATAGGAAGCCAACATAAGGAGAAACTGGCCATGACTAAGGCTAATGTCTTGGTCACTTTTGCTTCTTCGACGTTTGCTCTGAGCTGTTCAGGGTTATTTTCTTGCATGAAAACACGATTTGATCTTGACACTGTGTAGAACACTTTGGCGTAGCAGAAAGTGATGAATGTAAAAGGTGCAGCGACAAACACACATTCGATGAAGACGGTATAAGCAATGTTAGTTTGGAATGGGTACATGCACATTGCTTTTCCTGGTTGGAAAGTGTATCCGCCTGTCTGAAAAATTAGCGGAGGCACTGAACCAATGAGAGCCATACACCATACTACCGCAGTGTACATCAAAATTCTTTGCCTCCGGAATAATACAATGTACCTCGTTGGTTTCAGCACGCAAAAATATCGGCTAACTGCAATAACCCCCATGGTATTTAGAGACGCCAATGAAAACGTAAACATTGCAGCACCCTGGAGTCGACAAACACTGGTCCCGAAAATCCATCGGCCTTGAACGAGAGTAGCAACTGACAGAGGCATACAGCTGACAGATATTAGTAAATCACTGACAGCTAGCGCCACAATAAACATATTGGCAAGCGAACGAAGTCTCTGGTTTCTATACACGGCGTAGCAAACAGAAATGTTTCCCGAGATGGCCATCGTATTGACGATAGCAAGAAAAATTGCTTCAATCCAGACTAGATACTGTGCTCTTTTGAGGAGCTCGCTGGAATGCAGATGTTCCATAATACGAGGCTGATTCAAACGAATTCGTTGAAAGTATGCAGAGAAATCTTGAGAAGATCTTTGTAATAATTTGAACTCTACTGTTTTCAACGTCCAAGGGAAGTAGCCTTCTATACTGGATCAGGTGTTCGTGTCATTAATGAAAAATGTCAGATCATTAGTTATTTATATCAACAAAAATGTCAGATCATTAGTTATTTATATCAAGTTTGAAGTTAATTTGAATTCATTGTTTACAGCTAACCAAGACTTAAACAGCTGCCCCCCTCAAAAAAAGAGATATCCTAGTAGCCAAGAGTGTCTACCTCTCCGTTTGTTAGGGGTAAAATAGGGCGCTTAAGAGCGGCTGTCTGCAAATATCGACAATTTGCCGTCAAAACTGAAATTTCGAAATACTTCATTTTCAGTCCGGAAAAACCCTTTGGTGAAATATTTTCGAAAATGACAATCAAAGTTTCCAAAGAGTTTTGTTTTTCTAGAAGACCGCCAAAAAGTGAAATGCTTCCCCACGTCATATAGTCGCCGGTCTAAAACCTTTGAATTTTACCATTTTCAAAGCCCTCGGGAAGAAAGGCGGTTGAAGGAAACAAGTTCAACTTTGGCAGGTAAATAAGGTATCCCAGTTACAATACTATTTGGTAAAAATATTGCAAGATAATGCATTTTTACTTGGTTAAAAACGCCCGAAGATTCCTATCTTCAGCACTTTCATGAACAATGAAATTTTGTGAAACTTTAAAGGAAAAAATCATGGCTTGGTACATGAAATTTGTAATATTTAAGTCATGAAACTACAGTACGAAACGAATCATGTGCTAGTCCTCCATGTTTAATGTACTGCGCAAGTGCAAAATACAAGGAGCCTGGAACCTAATATATTACACTCCTCCCGAATAAATGGGTTGGTTAGCATAAAAACAGCAACAAGAAAATGCACGTCTAACAGATAAACAATGCTCAGCGTTCGTCACACTACGAGCCTCAGCGCTCCGGAAGTTAAAAAATTCGTACCGTCTGGTTGCTATGAAGTGACGTAATCATCCCGTTGAGTATCCATCACCGTAACACTTTTGCGGTCAACTACCGCAGCGCTCGTAAAGTACTTTAATTAAAACCGTGTTCAAAACCCTGTAGGAAGTCGGGTTATTTTTGAGTCGATTAATGCACTGCTGACTTCCACGAGGTCAACTTTTGCATAAATTATCAAACATTATGTTAAGCGGGAAATCTACCTATGGTTCGCGGGAGAAGCAACTTCTATAGCGGCGCAAGACAAATGTTTCGAGAGTCGAGGATGTGCTCACAAACTATTCACCATGCGACGAAAGGAGATATCACTGGCATGATACCTGCATGTAATGGTAATTTTTATCAATCCAGGTCGCGCCGTGTTCGCTCGAGAACGCTGTGACAACTTCGTTTGGCGCGCTTCTCAATACTCCCAAAACATGTTGTAATCGGTAAGTAGACTTAAGCACTTAGTATCGCCAAGCCATTCGAATCAGTGTATACCCAATTCTTTGTCTGAAGATTCGCGCAAACACATATACCAAGTACATCTGGATGGCAGAGGAAATTGTCTCCCTAAACGCAGCCAGGTTATATTTTGAAGGATGGCGGCACAATTCAACGCGTCTTCCAGGTCAGCCCTAATTTATAGTTCGTAAGAGTATAAATTGCGATCTCCCTATTTTCGCTTAAGCTTTCTTTGATAAAACTTCAGTAGAAACAAAACAACGCAGACATGACATTCTCCTGCATGAGACACAATCGGCTGAAGGAAATATCTGTTTACAAGTCGGGTAAATTATCCATTCTTGCGCACCGCAAAATCAGCTAAAATCAGTCACTGGAAACCTGGCATATTATTAAGCCTGTGCGCTTCTAAGAATAACACGTTTAGAACTTCGACGAGTAGAAAAAAAAGGCAGTTGTTCTATATCCTTTCTGGTTCATCCAGGTAGAAGTCCTGGGATATTATTATGCTTGAGCGCTTCTAGGATATATAACACGTTTAGCATTTCAACCCGTAGCCGTAAAAAACAATTAGGTAGTTGTTCTATATCCTTTCTGGTTCACCCAGGTAGAAGTCCTGGCATGATATCATTATGCCTGAGCGCTTCTAGGATATATAACACGTTTAGCATTTCGACCCGTAGCCGTAAAAAAAAATTTAGGCAGTTGTTCTATATCCTTTCTGGTTCATCCAGGTAGAAGTCCTGGCATGATATCATTATGCCTGAGCGCTTCTAGGATATATAACACGTTTAGCATTTCGACCCGTAGCCGTAAAAAAAAATTTAGGCAGTTGTTCTATATCCTTTCTGGTTCACCCAGGTAGAAGTCCTGGCATGATATCATTATGCCTGAGCGCTTCTAGGATATATAACACGTTTAGCATTTCAACCCGTAGCCGTTAAAAAAATTTAGGCAGTTGTTCTATATCCTTTCTGGTTCATCCAGGTAGAAGTCCTGGCATATTATTATGCCTGAGCGCTTCTAGGATATATAACACGTTTAGCATTTCGACCGTAGCCGTAAAAAAAAATTTAGGCAGTTGTTCTATATCCTTTCTGGTTCATCCAGGTAGAAGTCCTGGCATGATATCATTATGCCTGAGCGCTTCTAGGATATATAACACGTTTAGCATTTCAACCCGTAGCCGTAAAAAAAAATTTAGGCAGTTGTTCTGTATCCTTTCTGGTTCATCCAGGTAGAAGTCCTGGCATATTATTATGCCTGAGCGCTTCTAGGATATATAACATGTTTAGCATTTCAACCCGTAGCCGTAAAAAAAATTTAGGCAGTTGTTCTATATCCTTTCTGGTTCATCCAGGTAGAAGTCCTGGCATGATATCATTATGCCTGAGCGCTTCTAGGATATATAACACGTTTAGCATTTCGACCCGTAGCTTTAAAAACAAATTTAGGCAGTTTTTCTATATCCTTTCTGGTTCACCCAAGTAGAAGTCCTGGCATGATGTCATTATGCCTGAGCGCTTCTAGGATATATAACACGTTTAACATTTCAACCCGTAGCCGTTAAAAAAATTTAGGCAGTTGTTCTATATCCTTTCTGGTTCATCCAGGTAGAAGTCCTGGCATATTATTATGCCTGAGCGCTTCTAGGATATATAACACGTTTAGCATTTCGACCCGTAGCCGTAAAAAAAAATTTAGGCAGTTGTTCTATATCCTTTCTGGTTCACCCAGGTAGAAGTCCTGGCATGATATCATTATGCCTGAGCGCTTCTAGGATATATAACACGTTTAGAATTCAACCCGTAGCCGTAAAAAAAAATTTAGGCAGTTGTTCTGTATCCTTTCTGGTTCATCCAGGTAGAAGTCCTGGCATATTATTATGCCTGAGCGCTTCTAGGATATATAACATGTTTAGCATTTCAACCCGTAGCCGTAAAAAAAAATTTAGGCAGTTGTTCTGTATCCTTTCTGGTTCATCCAGGTAGAAGTCCTGGCATGATATCATTATGCCTGAGCGCTTCTAGGATATATAACACGTTTAGCATTTCGACCCGTAGCCGTAAAAAAAAATTTAGGTAGTTGTTCTATATCCTTTCTGGTTCATCCAGGTAGAAGTCCTGGCATGATATCATTATGCCTGAGCGCTTCTAGGATATATAACACGTTTAGCATTTCAACCCGTAGCCGTAAAAAAAATTTAGGCAGTTGTTTTATATCCTTTCTGGTTCATCCAGGTAGAAGTCCTGGCATATTATTATGCCTGAGCGCTTCTAGGATATATAACACGTTTAGCATTTCAACCCGTAGCCGTAAAAAACAATTAGGTAGTTGTTCTATATCCTTTCTGGTTCACCCAGGTAGAAGTCCTGGCATGATATCATTATGCCTGAGCGCTTCTAGGATATATAACACGTTTAGCATTTCGACCCGTAGCCGTAAAAAAAAAAATTAGGCAGTTGTTCTATATCCTTTCTGGTTCATCCAGGTAGAAGTCCTGGCATGATATCATTATGCCTGAGCGCTTCTAGGATATATAACACGTTTAGCATTTCAACCCGTAGCCGTAAAAAAAAATTTAGGCAGTTGTTCTATATCCTTTCTGGTTCACCCAGGTAGAAGTCCTGGCATGATATCATTATGCCTGAGCGCTTCTAGGATATATAACACGTTTAGCATTTCAACCCGTAGCCGTTAAAAAAAATTTAGGCAGTTGTTCTATATCCTTTCTGGTTCATCCAGGTAGAGGTCCTGGCATGTTATTATTATGCCTGAGCGCTTCTAGAATATATAACACGTTTAGCATTTCAACCCGTAAACGTAAAAAAAAATTAGGCAGTTGTTCTATATCCTTTCTGGTTCATCCAGGTAGAAGTCCTGGCATATTATTATGCCTGAGCGCTTCTAGGATATATAACACGTTTAGCATTTCGACCCGTAGCCGTAAAAAGAAAAAAAATAGGTAGTTGTTCTATATCCTTTCTGGTTCATCCAGGTAGAAGTCCTGGCATATTATTATGCCTTAGCGCTTCTGGGATATATAGTAGCAGTTTGACCCGTAGAAAAAACAAACTCAGCCGTTCATTTTGTAGGAGATATTTAAGCGTTTTTGTCTGTGTTAGCAATGTGATCGACTTTATACGCAGACCTTAATAAAATGTTTTTTTCTTTGACGGCACTGAATAATTTTAGCCGAAACTTGAGCCGTACATTTGTTGAATGCCGCGCTTTAATTAAATTTCTCGCCCGAGAATGATGACATGATGGCGCGAAAATTGACGCCTCTATCGTATTAGATGCGAAATATGATCAGAGATAAATGGAATAATGAATGTTACAAGCTTCTGAGTATCCAGCTGAGA